GTCCTATCCAATAAAGGCAAAAACGTAACCCCCCAAAATATATTTTAAAAAAATTGTGCTTTTACTTTTGATACTTTCAAGTACATTTAGCTGTTGATAAGTACTTTTACTTAAATTTTTTAGTTGGACTTGTATTTGAAATGGAGGACTTTTACATAATGCTGTTGGTGCTTGCCAGTAAGTAAACAATCTGCGACCCAGTTTATATTTCATACCAGTATCAAGACATATGAAACCTTTCAAAGTAAAACCTGTATTCAAATAGCATTTAATACACCATGAAAAAAGAAAAAAGACACCAGTTTAAAATCATTCCAGAATATCTTTTATTTCATTGCCCGTGTCCTATTCCCCACCCTCCCCCGTCCCTATTGCTGCACTCAATCATTACAAGGATATGGTGCTGATTCCATTTTACAGCAGAATAGATAAATAAATAAGTACAATTCATCTCACTACACGCAAAAAGAGAGAAAAAAAATCCATTCAAACCATTGATTTAATAAATATGCTTACATCTAGCTGTCCTCATTTATGTACATCCACATTGTTTATGCTTTGGGACAGTAATCAACTTAAAAAGCCTATACATTACTTCTATGTGTAAACCTTCCAAAAAATGTGTTTCTTTTGTTTAACAGTTGATGGTTGTTCTATTTTCCTTCAGTGAGTGGAATTCATCAGCTTTGACTACGTTACAAAGCCTTGCACTAGCAGCAGTGGCTGCGGGCAGCTGCATACAACCTGCTATTAAAGTCCACAAAGAAATACTTGTCTTTTTCAAGTCAAACGTTAATGGTCCCAGCATTGCAGGGCAAACTGCATGCATTGCCCTGAGCCCTGGTTTTGCATTATTTCTTTTTTTTCTGTTACCTGACAAACTCTTTGTGCAATGATGGACGTAAAGAAAGTTGTGATTGAACCAACTGCAGAGTCCGAACCTTGATAATTGTTACAGTGGGCCAGTCCTTTATATAAAGGAGCATGCATGCTAAACTGCTGATCATAGCCATGTAGAGATGACTTAATGAATGAGTGAATACGTGACAGGAACAGTGATTTGGTTGTGCCTCAAACATTCAAATGCCCCACATGAAACTGTGTGGAAAGCAATGATTTGTAAGGCAGGAACTTCTACTCTCCCAACCTTATTATCTTAATTTAGACCTCACACAGGAGGATGTGTTTTCGGTCTTACTGCATGATGTCTGGGTTGAGCATAAATTTAATCTTGTTGTGTCAGATCAGGGGAGATTAATCAGGTCCTGCTTAAAGTCAGCAGCTTGTTCAATCAAATGTAAATCTACTGTTTTCCACTGAGGATGAAGTTAATTTCTGTCACAAGGTGTCAGTATAATCACAGATCTAGACATCTGCTTGAGCTACACTATACACAAAGACATCACACTTGCTGTCGTACAACTGTGGGATTTTAGTTTGTGTTTGGCTGGTAGGTATAAACTGACAGAGGAGAGAAGACTGACAGGAAGTAGGAATGGATTGCTCAACGTAAAAGTGCTGATGAGATTCTGGTGCTAGGGACAGAGCATTTGATGGTTTGATTGGGTGGATAGCAGGTAGGATGTATGGAAGATTTAAAATGCCTAAAGTAAAACAAATCATATAGTGAAAAAGAAATTGTGTGAAATACAATACACATATGTATACATAATATATGTATTTCCATTTTCTGTATGCATTCTGGGTGTCATAATTAAATGCAAAACATGTTAGAATTATCTAGATTTTTGTCTTTAATAAATTAATTATCTTTAATGACATCAATTTTATAAGTCACAATCAAATTAAATCACATAAAATAAGGTGCATTTCAGGGTTGTCCAGCAGAGAGCATCTTCCACACAGTAGGTCTCTTTGTACAGTAATTTTCTCAAACGTATCACTTTGTAATGTTGTCAGAAGAACAGTGACAGTAACAGTTGACTCCTAGTCAATGTGACATGAAGCACTGCAAACTTCCATCACCAATTTTAGCTAACTACCTTGCAGACATCTATTAGCATCAGCTTATCCTCCTCAAATAATCCGCTCAGTGTTTACTGTAAGCTAACACAAGCTAATTGTTAACACTTACCAAGAATAGAGCCAAGAAGATCCCTCTGTCTGTTTGTAAAGCCTTGTGCAGCACAGTACATTCCTTCCGTCATTCACAAATGTAACATAATGTACAGTCAATAGTAGTGTCCCTCTGGCCGGCTAGCCAACAGGAAACTGTTTAATGTGAAAGGCTGTCTGTAATTGCTGTCATCAGCTTGTGTCAGTAATGATAAGCTCTACGCACAGCCCTGCTCATTTTGGCTTTAACAACGTCTCCAGTCAATGCATTTAGTATTGGCAGGTCAATGCTGGTCTCTGCTGGACAACACGGAAATGCTCCACTTTGTTATCAATTTTGATTTATTTTAATTCATTCAGTTTTACACTAAAAGCTAATTTTGATATACATATGCTTTAATGTAATTATGACACAATAAAGTCATCCATAAAAAGAAAATACACAAATGTGTATTGTATTTAACTTTATTACTTTTCTTTGTTTTTATTTCAGAATTTGAAATCTTCCATAGAGGGGCCATGTCTGGCTTTCTTTCCCAAAGCATGTTAAGCCTAAGGTGTCATCTTTGTCCCACTGCAGGTCAATGGTCAAAGCAGATCCTTGTGTTAAGATGCTTGAAGGCAAATAAGGTCTGCCAGCCTTTACATGGAGATGCTGCTGTAGAGCTGGTCAATCTTCCCCTTAAAGAACTCCTTCAGCTCCGGTCTCTTGGCCTTTAGTGTCGGCGTCAGGAGGCCGTTTTCAATGGAGAACATTTCGTTGTGGATGTAGATGTTCTTCACCTTGAAAAGGAAAATGAAAAGACCAAGATTCTTAAGAGCCCCCCCCAAGTTTCCTTGGTTATAACTTTAAGAATAGTGTAATTTCAGGAAATATTATTGTTAACGCAGGTTTTAGCCTAAGGCCTGTAATATACAGTATATTTCTGCTAAACCTTTCTGCTAAGCACAAGAAGCTCTGTCAATAACTCTTTTATTTCGCTGATTGCTTGTTTTAAATATGAGATCTGCAAACACCCTCTTTCATATTCATGATGACAAAGATGTTTATAATTTGCAGGATAACCACAGTATATTTATCAATGGCTGTGGTATAAATACGTTACTGTTTTTACTGAGTAGCTCAATTGAAGCAATTTGTGAATAATGCATTACACAGACATTAGACAACAAGACATTACAACACAATCAAACAGATCTTACTGAAAGGTTAATTGACATATTTTCTAAAGATAATAAGAAAATGACTGCTACAACAAAAGTCAGACCAAATCTTATACAGTAACTGCCTGCCTACCTGCTCAAATGAGTGGAGACCACTGGCCTTGCCCAGATGCACCAAATCTTCAAGGATTGCCTTCTTTAATTCCTGTTGACAGAGAAGAAAGTTATCTTCCGTAGAATTCTTCAGTATCTTCATCTATTTTTCACAGCATTTTGAAGTGTTTAAACTGTGAGCCACCTACAGTGTTTTTACAGAGATCCTTGAAGGTGCCTAAAATTCCTTTTTTCTTGGCCCATCCAGGCATGACTTCAGGGTCAGGAACCACAATTCCCACCAAACAAGACTGGAAAGAGCAAACACAGATATAAAGGGTAAATGTCAAAAGACTGTACATAAATTCTGCTTAAATATGACCATGTATTTTATTTGTCCTGGCTTAAAATATGTGGACAGATCTATAGTTCATTAAGATGCTGCGTGTTCTTACCTGCAGGCTGTCTCCATGAACATAAAGCTGTGCCACAGGTTGACTCCTAATGTAGATATTCTCGATCTTCTCAGGGGAGATGTACTCGCCCTGCGCCAACTTGAAGATGTGTTTCTTCCTGTCAATGATCTTCAGAGTGCCGTTCTACAGGAGAGGAGAGGTTGAAGGAATTACAAGAAGCAGAAACGGGATTAAAGATCTTGGGAGGTCCACATGGATTACATATCTAAAGCAAACACTGTATAACGTAAAGTACTTCTTTATTATGCCTAAATAATAGACTCTGATGTGAGCTGTATGTACATACAGGTAACCATTTGCCGATGTCTCCAGTGTGAAGCCAGCCGTCTGTGTCCAACGTCTCTGCTGTCCTCTCCGGGTCTTTGAGGTAGCCCTTAAACACATTTGGTCCCTTCACACAAACCTAAATGGGAGATTAAAAAAAAGTGGAAAAGGGTCAAGGTTGGAGGTGAAATATCTATACACTGAATCTCCTGTACAAACACTAATTAGGTCTAAAAAAGTTAATACCTTTATATTTTTATGAAAGGTGTATGTTCTTACGTAACATATATTCTCTAGATAATAGAAATAGAAAAGGAAGAATAGAAAAGGCTTAGAGGACTTATATTTCTCATATTTTGCACGTCAAACCTTTTCTGTTTTGAAATTATATCTAAATGTTGTTCTCACACATCTCATATTTGAGCCTTGTGTCTTATCTTGGCATTTTAAGACATTCAAAGTTCTCTGACATACTGTGACGATCACACAAACGTACTCACACACATACATGAACAGTATGTATGTTTCTTTAAACATTGCGTACCTCTCCCTCCCCCTTAGAGGCAAAGTAGTTCTTCTCAGGTACATCCACCAGTTTGATGAGGTTACATGGCAGCGGGGCTCCGACGTGACCTATTCATGGGTCAGGACAAGCAAAATATTTAAAAACTCAACAAAATAACCATCGTACATGAGCTGGAATTAGTCCGAATGCCCCTACACCGCGGCCTTTGCCACTGTTAAAATGCACCACTGTTGAATGGATTTCCTACAGATAATAACTAACAGCGGTGTATAATTATACATTGTGCTCAACAATAAGCAAATTCACATGATGTTCATATAAAACCGAATATGGGAGGAGAGGGAGAATTTTCACCTGCACACATTGGGTTACATTCATTAACAATAATTTACATGTCTATGAAATATAAAAGAAAAAAAGGAAGAAAGATCAATTGTCATTTTTTTTCATATAAATACAAATACCTAATGGAATATCAGAACTGAGCAGCAGGGGGTGATGCTAGACTACATTTTGATGTTAGTCAACACAGCGAGTGTTACTGTTTTTAATCGCTGCCCTGTCTGCAAGCCGCACAACAGGCTGAGGCACATAACATGTAGTGGTCATTTTGTGGTTTTGGATGATATGCAGTCATATGATACATATTGTGAAATTTCTCTCTTTTTTTTCACATATTTTTATTTAATGTCACACTGTTGAGACATTTGGTGTTTATGAAGAAAAGAGGTGTAATGTTTCACAATTTAAATGAAATTACAAAAAAACTATGATCTCCTTTGTTAAGCCAATCACAAGCACAATGAAAGAGATCTAATAATGTTGTGTCTTCTCAAAAGTAAATCAGTATCTTTTATTCTGAGTACATTTTAAATGAGGGGCTTTTTACTTTTAAATTAACAGATTTTTACTATAGCAGGTTTTTTTTACTTCTCCAGTCAAATAGCAACAAATGAACAGTATTTGAAGTAATAAATCCAGGTGAAATAAAGAGTTTTTTTAAATCTGGCTGATAAAGACTACACTGACACAAACTGTTGCTTTGTGAAAGGTTGAATGAACAGTTACAAATGTAAGTGATATTTTATAATTTGAATAATTAGTTATATTCATACATACATTTTATTTCAAATGTTTTTATATATACAGTAAATGTTATATGTTTTTGTGTCAGATGCTATAGATTGTAGTTAACATTATGTGAGCTAGTGTTTAGATTTCCCAAAAGTAAATGTATGATGTGTGCTTAATACAAATAATACAAATAATACAAATAATAATGTTTTAAATGGTTAACCTTCAAAAGACAGGTTTCATTGTTTTGCATGTACAGCTGAAATAAGAATGATGTATATGTATGAAAATGCACAGGTTTATTCTGGTTTAACTCCAACTTAACATCTATTATTTGATGACTGTCTTCAGAGAACAACACACTTTACAATAAATCAGACAGCTAATTATAACGCAGCCTTTAAGTCTATGTAATTGCATAGAGGTCACCTGGAAAAACACCATCAATGCCAGGAGATTTAACACAACAATACAGCACAATGGACGGTAAATACAGGCAGTTATGGCAGGTCCTTGTTTTTTTATACCTGTTTGTTGACATTGGCAGTCACCTAAGCAGGCATTTTGTCTGTTAATAATGTGGCCTCACAGCTCTTTCTTTTCTATCTGTCTCACCCTTCCAGGCCTCTCCTTTTTCTGAGTGTCTGAGCAGCTGTGGCATTATCTGTGACCCCACAGTGCAGTGCATAGTCAATCAAACAATATTCCAGTATCAGAGTTATTTATTCCTTAAAATCATAACTGAACCATGTCATTTTCAGACCTTTGAACTCAGCCTCTAGTCAAGTAAACAAGTTCACAAGTTCACAGAGTAATTCAGAGATAAAGATTCGTCTTTCTTTTCTAGGCCTGTTGCATAAACGCTGAGACTCACCTGGAGTCCAGTCTCCAGGTGTTGTGAAGGTGCAGCCAGCTGTGCACTCTGTCTGGCCGTACGCCTCGTACACCTACGAACAGACACAGATGTTGTTGAGAAGAGGGGTGTGTGAAGGACTTGAATGCACCCACATATTAAATTTGTGTGTGGATATGTTGTTTATAAGCATGTGTATCTGTGCATGTTCTGTGTGCCGGTTGTACATAGTTTTAGACCTGAAAGTGAGGACCTTTTGTCTGATCCCCACTTCTTAAGCTGCAGTAGGAAAAACCTGTGCAAACCTATGCAAAACCTTCCCCCTCTCTCACTGCTGCATCATATCACTCAGCTAAGCCCTACTCCACAGGTTTGAATGGCAGCAGCAGGAATCTGTTGCCATATCTTTAGTTGCTAAATGCTCCACTCAGCACCAGCTAGTCGCTAACTGTACCTCTCAGCCATTTGGTGCAGAGCAGGTAGTGAACAGTGGGTTCTCATAGCTTTTTCCTTGAAAACCACTCCCAACAGCATCTGAATACACCGCTTTGAGAGCGTTGCAATGGTTAAGGATAGGGTTAGAGCCTAAAGAATTATTTATGTCACTTCCCCACAAGAATAGCTAACGTGTGTGTGTGTGTGTGTGTGTGTGTGTGTGTGTGTGTGTGTGTGTGTGTGTGTGCTGTGTGTGTCTGACCTGGCATCCCAGAGCTGCTCTAAGGAATCCAGAGCTGGGCGAGGTAGGAGCTGCTCCCTGTTTAAATCATCCTCACCTTCCCTCCCAGGCTGGCCTTTTCAGACAGGGAACACATTAAATTACACTAGGGGGCTTTATTTTCTTAAAACATTCTTAAAATAATGTAAATAACCCCACCCAAAAAAAAACAAAAACACAACATCCAGGAATTTATTGGCAGTTGTTTTAGGTTTCTTAAAAAATTAGCTTTAAAGGCCTTTTTATTAATCAGCTCACTTGGCAATGTATTGCAATGGAGTGCAACATGACTTTGACAAAGTTTGAGGAAGAACCTTGTGCTTGAAACATCACTTGCAAAATAAATATTTTTTCTACAGGAGCTATTTGGTGTGTGGAATTTT